GGGAAGTGATTAATGATACAACAAATGTTCATAAAAACAATAAAAACAGAACAACAGAGATTGAAAAAGAAAACGAGACTCTCACGCAGAATAAACATATAGCAAACGAATTCAATAGATTTTTTACAAGTGTCGGCCTAAACATGGCAAAAAAGATAAATAATGTCAACAATAACAACGTGATTCAACAAAGTAGCATATCTTAGTCTCTTTTTCTAAAGCCAGTTACAGAAAGGGAAATAAAAGAAACAATAATAAGTTTGAAAAATGGTGCTAGTCCGGGACCCGATAAAATAAGATCGGGCGGATGTGGTACCTGTCATTTGCCCATTTTAACACTCGCAAAAGATAATAGACATAAAAACCTACAATTTTCATGTTTAAAGTTTTTTTCCACCTCGTATAGATAAAGCTGTAGGTAGGGGTCAAAAATAAATATAGGGGAACACCCTGTACTTCATGAATATCTTTAGGCAGGGCTGGCAAGTTCTTACGACGACTGTTATAGACATTCCTTCTTATAAGATTTATATCCATGGCCATCAATTCCTCCGGTAAATTTGTTGAAAGGACGCTTTTTATAATCTTCGAAGGTTTTTCCGATATGTCTTTCTAGGCTTTTCTCTTGCATGAAGCTGTAACCATTTTTCTCTGCAAAGAACCCTCGGTCGAAATTACTTATGTCAATAAATGGGCCTCTTGCTTTGGGCAGGTAGGCGAGGGATTACCGGTCGAAATTACGCCCGCCGATAAGATCAACATGGTTGAAGCTAGTAGCCGATTTCATAACGCTATTACCTATATGGTGAATAAAATTTTTGAGCAAGGTAAATTTCCAAAAATCTTCAAAAAAACAGTTGTACCTATTTTTAAATAGGGTGACCCGGCTCAGGTAACAAACTATCGACCAATCTCTTTAGTAAGCAATATCGTTAAGATAATCGAAAAGACAATGAAAAACAGAATTGAAGACTTCTTGGAAAAGCACAACATCATTTCGAATAAACAATTTGGTTTTAAAAAGGGTGTCTCAACAGTAGACACCATGCACATGTTGGTTGGCCATTTGCACGCTGCCTTGAACTCTGGTCAGAAGCCTATTGCTATTTTCTTGGATTTGGCAAAGGCTTTTGATACGGTTCCGTATGATAAGCTTATGGCCGCCCTAAGCAACTATGGAATTATAGGGATCGCTGGAAATTTAATTGAGAACTACCTAGAAAATCGGGAACAGAGTCTCTTATATAACTCGGAAATTAGTGAACCTAGAGTTCTGCCCATTGGAATACCACAAGGCACAATTTTGGGTCCTCTACTCTTTAAAGTCTACATTAACAGTCTATTAAACCTAAATAGTTCTGAAATCCTGGTTTTTTCCTATTGCGATGACACAGTGGTGACAGTGGCTAAACCAACGTGAGCTGAAACAAAAGAAGCGGCAGAAGCCCAAATTAAACATATACACGGCTGGTTAAATTCGAATCTTTTGAGCTTAAACACTCAAAAAACCAAATATATTTCCTTTTCATTGAAAAATAGTGGCCAACCAGATTTCAATGCTTTAACTATACATACATGTCAAAACAACTCAATCTGTAACTGCAACTTGAAAATTTTCAACACCTATGATATCAAATACCTGGGATTACAAATTGATCAGTGCCTACAATGGGACCGTCACGTGGCTATTTTAGTTGACAAGTTGAGGAGAACCATGTACAAATTTAGGCAACTTAGAACTTTTTTAAGCATAACTGTACTTGAGCAGGTTTATAAAGCCTTGTTTGAATCATTAATTACTTATGGTCTTCCTATCTGGGGTGGGGATTATGAATGCAAATATGAAAATCTGAAAATACTCCAGAAATGGCTTCTGAAAGTGATTCATGGAAAACCACAGAGATTTCCGACAAGTGAAATATTCAAAGAAACAGGTTTGCAGGACTTCGATACATTATATATAATGGCATGTGTATTCTTTGTTCATAAGAGGGGGGACATTAAAAAAATTAGTCATAATCGCGCTACAAGATCAATTCAAAACCAAAACTACAGTACCCAACAACCTAAAAACTGTACATTTATCAAGTTTATTGACTACACAGGCATCAAGTTATACAATACTTTACCCTTGCAAATTAAAAACATAAATAACTTGAGTAAATTTAAAAGTGAAAGCAGATTATTATTACCTATATATGATACGAAATATAGGGGAAAATACACTGTGACGGCATAGTCACTGAGATGGCATAGCGCTTGTAATTTGTGAGAATCGGATAGATATGGCAACACCGTTGTTGCTGCGCGTGAATAATGCATATGCCGTTGTACCGACGCCATTTTTGGTTTATTTCTGTTCGCTTGTGAGTTGCTGCGTGGACGTTTTAAAAAAACGACGCCTAAAAGTTTTTTTTGATAAATATTTCTGTGCTTGTTATCGGACGCCAGTAGAAAATATAAGGTAAGTTTCAATCAATTTTTTCTGTACCTTTTGGGAATACTGTTGAAACTAATCTTGGTGGTTAACTGTTTGTTTGAAGTTTCTAATTTTCGTGACTATATTTCAGTTTGCACGTGTATGTGGCTAAGATGGCATGGAGCTGAGTTGTCTGAGATGGCATAGTATGCCATCTCACCTACATCCCCTATCTTATATTAATTAGTCTTTTTATACATTTTATCTGAAATTGTATATAAACTTCATTTCAGATATGGCTCCATATATCAGGAAATCTTCAAGGCAGTCATGGGATGAGAATCACATGAGGGAGGCCATCCATACTGTTCAGAGCGGTCGAATGGGTTGGTTCTTGGCGTCCAAAACGTTTGATGTTCCGTTCACGACATTGCGGCGCCGTGCTCAAATGGGAAATAGAGCAAAAGGATATCTAGGTGGACATAAGGTGACATTTGACGCAAACTTGGAGAAAGAAATAGTCAATCATCTACAAGATTTAGAGATCAGATTCTTTGGGATGACTTCGGTCGATGTTAGAAGGTTAGCGTATCAAATAGCCGTTAAGAAGAAACTTCCTCACAGATTTTCATCTGAAAAGGAGATAGCTGAGAGGGGTTGGTTAAAATTATTCAGAATGCGCAATCCTACAATATCTCTCGCATACCGGAAGCTACTTCAGCTGCAAGGGCACGCGGTTTCAACCGACCACAAGTTCAAGCATTTTTCTGTAACTTGAACGAAATAATGGAAAAATATAACTTTGAGCCACAGCAAATTTGGAACGTTGACGAATCAGGGTTTAGCACAGTACCAACGCAACCCGCCAAGATTTTCGCAACTAAAGGTCGAAAACAGGTTGGGGTTTTAACAAGTAGTGCTGAAAGAGGCCATCACTTCACTTCAGTTTGTTATGTAAACGCTCTGGGAACATACATTCCACCTGCTTTTATATTCCCCAGAAAAAAATATGAAATTGGATTTAATGGACTATGCTCCAACGGGTTCCGTAGGATTTGCTCAGGAAAAGGGATGGATGAACGCAGAGGTCTTTCTTAAATGGTTGCAACATTTTGTGAAACAAAGCAAAGTTTCACCTCAGAACAAAGTTTTGTTGCTTTTTGGATGGTCATTCTAGCCACAAAAACATAGATGTTTTAACATTTGCGAAGCAGAACGGCATCGTAATTTTCTGCTTTCCGCCACATTGCACCCATAGGCTTTAACCGCTAGACGTTAGTTTCTTTGGGCCATTGAACACGTTTTATAATCAAGAATTGAATATTTGGCTCAAAAGCCACCCTGGTAGAACGGTAACTCACCAACAAGTTACAGGAATATTCAATGAAGCGTATCTGCGAGCTGCAACGATAAAAAATGGTCAAAGTGGTTTCGCGTCTCCTGGAATATTCCTACTCAATGAACATATTTTTCCGGACTACATGTTTGCACCTGCGGATGTAACTGATGTTCCAGTGCCAGTGGTACCAGAAGAGCCAAATGAAGTTTCAGTAACCGCCCAAGAACAGCCTGGTCCTTCATCATAAAACGAGCCTGTGGTACCAAAAGACCCAAATGGACTTTCAATAGCCGCCCAAGAACAACCTGGTCCTTCATCGTCCAAGGACCTAAGCATATCCGAAATTTCGCCATTGCCGAAGGTAACTCTGACAATCAGATCCAATCGAAAGAAGGGAAAATTCGGAGTTCTCAATACTACGCCAGACATTGAAGAACTGAAGTTAGAACTGGTTAGTAAAAAAGCTCCAGTTTTAAGAAAATCTGCTCGCTCGGCCAAGAGAAAAGTCCGCCTGCCGTCGTCTTCTGGGAGTGAAAAAGAAGAGCCGGAGTATTCTGGATCAGAAGAGGAAGAAGATCCAGCCTGCATTTATTGCCTTGAACCATACAGTAGGTCACGAAGTAAGGAATGGTGGCTACGTTGCCAAATGTGCAAAAAATGGTGCCACGCAGAGTGTATTGGCCTACCTAGAAGCGCGAAAAATATAATTTGCGATATTTGCAAATAAAATACATTAGTTTTAAGGTGTATGCCATCTCACCCATAGGGGTTGGGTGAGATGGTTTTTGTAAGAGTTTACGTTTTATTTTTTTTAAAGGTTAATAAACATCCTAATCAGTTGTTGTGAACATTTTTGTATTGAAAATAGGTCCTATTGTTTGCACAAATTTTTGCTTTTTCTCATCTGGAAAAATTTGAATTTTTATAAACCATTTTCAAAAAGTATGCCATCTCAGAGTACTTTCCCCTACATCTATTTCTACACTAAACTATTATCTAATCCCACATATTTAAGATAGGAGTATGAAGTTTTTACATCATGAATATTAACCAGTTATGGTATATGGATCAATAATTTTGTAGTAACAGAATAACATAACTGTTTTTACATTTTATATTTTTTAGACATGAAAATTAAAATAAATAAAATAATTTACCCTTTTTGGGAGTGTCTCCTTCATCTCTTCAACTGATAATTGTGCGAAAAAATATCTAAGTAATAATTAAACCATTAATTTTCAGTTAAACCTGAAGTTGTCAGGATCATCGGTTTGGACGGAGTAAAAATGACCAACGGTTCAATTTTGGGTCCGAAAGAAGAAGGTGACGAAGTGGATCTGGTTTGTGAAGCCGGTAGCGGAAAACCCATCCCTAGAGTAAGCTGGTATAATGGATCGACGTTGATTTCTAGAGGTAAGCTCAAACTATAAAATCAAAATTACGAAAGGTGGTTGAAAGCTATTTTCCGTATAATGTAGTAAGCACCAATTACTTGGAAATTGGGCAATAAGTTAAAAATTTCGAATAAAAATTTTATCGTCCGCAAGATAAATTTTTCGGGAAATTATCCAGAACATCCGCGTTTATAAAATAAGGCGGCGATTCAGTTCGCAGATAATAAGTAATAAAATACCCCCAAAGTGTGCTTTTAAATTTTTAATGAAAGATTTTCCGAAAATATTTATGAGGCTTTTAATAATTCATGTAGCTAAAAACGAGCCTGCGAAAGGAATAATTGGATTCTATTTCCGGTTGCAACTTCGCCTAGCTGTTAATTTCCTAATTGGTTTAGCCCAAGTTTTTGAAGCCGGAAAGTTAGCTGATGCCGCGCAAAGAAAATTTTTAACGCCAAACTTTTGCCAACGGCTCTAATTCGTATCTTGGTTAGATAAGTATCTTACATACCTGACTAAAATTCTTGATGCTAAAGGAGTTTTCGAAACATTAAAGCGTGTACCTATCTTAAAAACTATAGGTATTCTGAAGCTCGAGAAAAATTTACTTTTAATTATTTCTCGAAGTTTGTTTATTATCGGCGCTCAAGATTTACCGCCTCCTCGGCCGTTAACAAGAAGTTCTTAATGTGTGCTATTTGCTTCACTTAAGAAGACTTCGCCAAGGTGCGCTGCAGCAAACAATGTTTGCATAATAAATACCTTAGGGATTGTTTTAGAGGCGAGCAGGCGGTCCTCTTTTTCATTTAATGCGCCCAGAGATTTATTTGAAGTTAAGTTACTTAGTAAACAAGGTATTTCAAAGCTTAAGGGCTTCATTAATTAATATCCCGAAGGGTTGTTTCATTTAGTGCCGGCTTGAAAATGATTTATATTTCACTTTAGTTCCACGCAATTATTATTTAGGGAAATTTGAGCTTTCATCAAGATAGCATTAACAAGTTATATGTTCCTGTTCGCATTCATGATATTCCAGTCCATAAACTCTAAGCGAAACCTGATGTTCGTCCACTGACCATGGCAAACAGACCACACGGTTTGCACAACATAAATTTAATATAAACTTAGCTATTAATAGTAAATTTTAAAGCGCTTCCATAGAGTTGGTGGTCGGCAGTGCGTGATACTGTACTTCCCGGTAAATTTTAAACTATACTAGACTACCGAAGGCTGATGAAATTGCGGTGCGAGTTCCAGATTTATTTCAAAGTGCGGTCAAATACTAATTCCGAATTGGAACGCTTACGGCTGGAGCTAATTGCGATACCGTGCCTACATCCCCCATGATAATTACAGGTGCTATTGCTAATTTGGTTTAACTATAGCGTATTGAAGTACAAATTGATTTGAGGGAGGGTAAATTCTTATCTTGGAGGTTAAGAAATGAGTATGGGTGCCGCATTATAAATATTTTTGATTGTAACGAGCACCATTCGACGCTCTGATGCCGCTAAAGGATTTTATAAAACCGATTACTTTATGTTAGAAGAATCAAAATCAATAATTGAGAAACGAAAGTTTGGGAGGGTGGTATGCCACAGGCTGAAGTAGGCCCGTTGTTCGTCTCTACAAGAGGAGATATTATCCTTAGCTCATCATCCAGCCTAGCGATCCAACGTAGGCGATGTTTAACTAGCAGTGGCCTGTCAAGATGCCCGTTATTAGGCGTAGCCTTTTCCTTGAAAAAGTGTAGCTTAGCAGTCCCTTGGATAAGTGTGGCAGCCAACCGTATCGTCCCAGCACGTTTTGAAAAGGGTGTGTTAGCGTTCTTTGGTCATATCTTTGGCCACCGACATGGTCAGCCCCACGAAGGGCTCCGGTCCAGAAGGCTGTAGCCTGGCGGCCCTCCTAGCCAGAGCATCGGCAGCCCAATTACCTTTGATGTGATCATGTCCTTTGATCCAGCTGAATACTATCGCGTTTTTTTATCGATGCCTCTGTGAGGGTACGGTGGCAATGTTGTGCAAGTTCTAACGTGAATCGTGGTCCTGACAGAGCTAGTACTGCTTGTCTGCGGTCCTGGTGGATGTGCATGATCTTGTCAGTGAGTTTGTTGCTGACTATCTGTTCTGCAGCGATGGTTATGCCAGCCATTTCTGTTTGAAGGACATTTGGCGGTTTGAGAGCTTTGCTCCGCATTTCGAGCCTGTTCCAGTTTTGGATCCGTCAGTGTAGATCTTACTTACCCCTGCCACTGTATTGTTACCAATGCCTTCCGTGTTGAATGTGTAGTGCTTTTTGAGGACGAAATAATGCGTTGCCGAGTCTACTCTGGCTTCCAACAGTGGAAGCGAATTTGTTGCCTCACGCCATATGCGGGCTCTCTGCAAGACCCAACTTCTGCACTTGGTTCTATACCAATAGTGCGGAAGCGCGTCTTTATAGTTAAAGCAACCTCCTTGACATAAATGTCTAGGGGCGTCACACATGGAATTACTTCCAAAGCTCCAGTTAGGGTGGTTTTCATTGCACTAGTTATGTTGAGGCATGTCATTCTTTGAACGTGGTCTAGTTTTCGGCTAATAGTGGTCTGCACGGCTTAAAGACCCGAGACAATAAAGCATTGGTAAGCATTGGCCTTTTTTTTATAGTAGGGATTGGGTATGCGTTATGCACGCTTAAGGCATTGTTGTTTGGGCGCCTTAAGTAATGTGGGACTCCCATCCACTAAAACCCTTCCCCTAATCTTCCCTTTTCCTTCCGGGATCACCTTGCGGCATTACTTCAAGGGGGTACCGGCAATGCTGGTTGTTTACGTCATGTGGTTTTTCTATATCTCTGTCTGTCCATTGTCGTTACGTTGCTCGGTATTCTGCTGGGGCCTTTTCGGCTTTCCTTTCATCCTCGGCTTTCGCTTTCATGATTCGTGCTTCTTCCCATTTCGTGTGAACACTTACCATTTCCGTTATAATGATGTCCGCTGTGTCTTGTTTCAAGCTTTCTAATGCATGCTTCCCTTTGCTCCTCCCACTGAGTTCACACAAATATTGTGTGTTCTGCGGTGTCGCGATCGCCACAGTACAGGCATTCATTGTCGTTTGTTTTATTTATATTATGTGTATAGTCTCTAAAGCTGCCGTGCCCTGTATGCAGTTGTGTAGTATAGTAGTCACTGTCGCCGAATCTACGGTAAATCCAGGCTTCTATATTTGGTATGAGTTTGGCTATCCATCTTCCCTTTGTGCTGTATTGTCATCACTCCTGATATTTTTGAAGTAGTCTGTTTCTGGCTTCTTTGGGGGCTGCACTGTTACATCAAGGGCTTTACACAAAATGACTTTGTTATTACATTTGCTGGCTTCAGTAAGTTATACGTTGACAAAAAAAGTATAATAAATCTTTCTAATAAGTGTTTTCAAACTAATCTTTTAATTTGCACTATGCCAGCTAGGTTTTTATCTAGATATAAGCAAGATTTAGTACATAGGATGAATCAAAGCCTTATTAAGTATGTTGAGCTATTGAAGTCTTTTTCGATAAGTGTAGATTTGCTGGATGTGGAGAACGCCTTTCGACCAGCTGACTATATTAGAAGCACACCTTTCTTAAAGAGAAGTGGCCTTAAATCTCTTTCAAAGTTGATGTTTAATTCTATTAACAATTTTTTTAACAAAAAACCCCTCTCTAATTTGAAATTTGTTTCGCTTGTTGAGGAATTAAATAACTTAAATTATGGTCAGTGTGCTCAGTCAGCTCGGTTGGGTGAACGGGCCCCTTCCCAGAATTTAGATTTAGATTTGGATTTAGGTTTAGATTTGGGTTTGGATTTGGATGTGGTAGATTTGACTGCTGAAAGTTGTTTCGAAAGTGACAAGGTTGATTTTTTAGATCCAGGCCACACAAAGCGGTCAACATTAGTTTAGTTGATAATCGGGGCGTAAAAAACAAAAATAACAAACATCAGAATTCTGCTTTACTACTAAATATTCAATCACTCCGAAATAAAACAAACGAACTACACTTGTTTTTAAATGAGAATAATAATCCAAATATAGTCCTTATTACGGAACACTGGCTGAAAGAATATGAATTAGTTAATGTACCTGACTATGTTATTGTGTCAAGATTTTGTCGTTCTAGCAATGAGCATGGGGGTTGTATGATTTTACTGAGGAAGTCTTTTTTGGATCTAAATTTATTTGAACCCATAAACAAATTTAATATTCTGCTAAAAGAATTAACTTTTGAGTTCACTATGATTTTTTCAAGAAAACTAAACCTCTATGTAGTCTGTGTCTATAGATCACCCAAATCTATTACAACTGAATTTTTGACAGGCCTGGATTGTCTTTTGGCTGAAATTTCTTCATCATCTAATGTTCTGCTTGCTGGGGATTTTAACATAGATTACAGAGACGGCAATGCAATATCCACCGTTGCATTAAAAAATATTTTTATCTCTAATGCCCTGAATATGCATGTCACAACACCCACACGTATAACAAAAACAACATCAACCTTAATTGACTATATTTGTTCCAGCTATAGTCAGGAAGAGGTAGAATGTAGGGTAGTTAATTCAGCATTGTCAGATCATGAGGCAGTGGTTTGTGACATATCGGAGCCCAGAGTGATAAATAAACAAAAATCTAGGCGCGGTAGAATATTCGACAGAAGCAGCTTTAATAGGTGTGCTGACATCTGATGAGCCTTTAAGTTCATTTCACCAGAAAACGACAAGGATTTTTAACAATTGTTTTCCTGTAAAAAATATAAAAACAAAAAGGGAAAAACCATGGTTTACCAAGGGCTTGAAAACTTCCTCTAGGAATCTTCGCTGTCTTCATAGGATTAGAAAATATACAGATAGTCCATTTTTTTATTCTTACTTTGGTTCCTACAGGTCTTTGTTTCGTAGACTGATTGCAGCTGCAAAAAAACGGTACTACTCCGATCGTCTAAGTAATTCTTCTAACAAACAAAAAGAATGTTGGCATATTATAAATAATATTCGTTCTAATAATTTTCAGAGGTCACTATCACATCCGGAAGTTTCTTCTGACAACCTGAATCAGTACTATTGTAATATTGGGAAAAATTTAACAAAAAACATAGGAATTCGTAAAGATCCAATGTTGTATATGTCTCATATTTCAGTACCCAATTCATTTGCATTTACACCAACCGATTTAGCTGAAGTTAGGCAAACATTGAAAGGCATCAAGAACAAAAATGCATCGGGAGAGGATGGATTGTCTGTCAGAGTATTGCTTAATATGCCTGAAGTTATTATAGCCGATATTTTAGTCAAAGCTTTAAATCACTCTTGGACGAGCGGGGTATTTCCTTCGAGCTTAAAATCGGCTTTAGTGATCCCGCTTCATAAGGGTGGAATTGAATCTGACCCTGCTAGTTTTAGGCCCATTTCAATGTTGTCTACCTTGTCTAAATTAATTGAAAAACTAACAAAAACTCGAA